ATATGTAACTAAGGTCTCAATACCCTATACTGTGGTGTACACATCATGTTTAGCAGTGGTTTCAGTGCCCAGCCACGAGCCAGGCTGCACCATGTTTGGTGTTGAACTGGATGGCTCCCAGCAAAGCGTGCTGCCCTGTGATTGATTACAGTATTAATGCCAGAGATAGAAAAACTTTGCTGTGCCATAAAAGTAGTACCTACATATGCCAAAGTTGATTACTGTGCTATGAATAGTGGTATCCTCGACACTCCCTACCCCAGGAATGGACATGTTGTGCTGTAAAGAGTGGGATTTGACACATCCTGCCCTCCCAGAGGGGTGTCCCATATCATAAATAGCGGGCTTGTGACTCGCCCCAGGGGAATTCTGCACCATGAATAGTGGTGCTCTCGACAACCTGGGGAGAGACATCCTATATGATAAATAGCAGTGCTCTTGACACAACTTGGATAAGCATCCTGTGCCAGGAATAGAGACATTGTGCATTAACATAAGAATGGCCATAGTGCATCAGACCAATAGTCCATCTAGCCAAAGACCCTGTCTTCTGACAGTAGCCAATGCCATATGCTTCAGAGGGAATGAACAGAACAGGCAATCATCAAGTGATCCCTGTCATCCACTCCCAGCTTCTGGCAATCAAAGACTAGGATAGGGATCAGCAACCTTTGGCACACAGCCCGCCAGGGTAAGCACCCTGGCAGGGCAAGCCGGTTTGTTTACCTGCCGCGTCAGCGGTTCGCCGCTCCAGGCCAATGGGGGCAGTGGGAAGCGGTGGCCAGCACATCCCTCAGCCCGCACCACTTCCTGCAGCCCCCATTGGCCTGGGACAGCGAACCGCGGCCTGGGAACCAGCGAACCGCGATCGGCCGAACCTGCGGATGCAGCAGGTAAACAAATCAGCCCGGCCCGCCAGGGTGTTTGCCCTAGCGGGCCGCGTGCCAAAGGTTGCGGATCCCTGGGCTAGGGACACTCCTGACCATCTTGCCTAATAGCCATTGATGGACCTATCCTCCATGAACTTATCTAGTTCTTTTTTGAACCCCTATATAGTTTTGGCCTTCCTAAGATCCCCTGGCAATGAGTTCCACAGGTTGACTGTGCGTTAGGTGAAGAAGTACTTTTTGTTTGCTTGTTTTAAACCTGCTGTTAATTTTATTGGGTGACCCCTGGTTTTGTGTTATGTGAAGGAGTAAATAACACTTCCTTATTCACTTTCTCCACCTCAGTCATGATTTTATAGACCTCTATCATATCCCCTTTTAGTCGTCTCTTTTTCCAAGCTGAAAAGTCCCAATCTTTTTAATCTCTCCTCATACAAATGCTGTTCCATACCCTTAGTCATTTTTTTTGCCCTTCTCTGTACCTTTTCCAATTCTAATCTCTCTTTTATGAGATAGGGTCACCAGAACTGTACACAGTATTCAAGGTATGGGCATACCATGGATTTATATAGTGGCATTCTGATATATATTATTATTGTTGTTGTTGTCTTATTAGCTATACCTTTCCTAATGGTTCCTAACATTCTGTTAGCTTTTTTGACTGCTTTTGCACATTGAGCAGATGTTTTCAGAGAACTATCCACAATGACTCCCAGATCTCTTTCTTGAATGGTAATAGATAAATTAGATCCCATCATTTTGTATTAACAGTTGGGATTATGTTTTCCTTTGAACTACTGTACGGATGCCACCCACTGGCATATTAGACATCGCGAAGGCGGAATGGGCAGAACAACCCAACCCGGGGAAGAACATAATCATACACGTGTCCCAGATGAGAGAACAAATAGCCCAAGTGATCCCCATAGTATGAGAGCATTTTGAGAAAGCACAAGAGGCCCAACGAACCTACTACAACCATCATGCAAAAACACAGAAATTTCAACCAGGAGAACGGGTGCTGGTGCTGGTACCAATAACAGAAAGCAAGCTCCTGGCCAGTTGGGGTGGATCCTATGAGATCACAGAAGCAGTTGGGGAAGTGAATTATAAGGTGAAGCAGCCAGACCGCCAAAGAACAGAGCAGATCTACCCCGTCAACTGACTGAAACCCTGGCTCGATCGGGAGATGTGCCTGGCCATCCTGCCAGCTCCACCGCAGGCAGATGGCCAACAAGGGCAGGTAAGGATATCCCCCGAATTAGCCCCAGAACAATGAACAGAGGTTGTCAAATGATCCAGCAGAACCAAGATGTGTTCTCCACACAACCAGGCCGTTGATCCAACACCACATCGTCACCTGTCCCGGAGCAAGGGTGACGACAAAACCATATTGCAAAAAGAGGCAAAAAGAGAAGAAATTAGGGCAGAAGTAAGGAAGATGCTGGAACTTGGGGTGATTTGAGGAATCCCACAGCCAGTGGTCCAGCCCTACTGTCTTGTTCCCCAAGCCTGACGGCACCCTGAGGTTTTGTAATGACTTTCGGAAGTTAAATGAGGTATCCCAATTCGATGCCTACCCGATACCAAGTATTGATGAGCTGGTGGATCAGTTAGGCAAGGCCCGATACTTGACCACCTTGGACTTGACAAACGGCTACTGACAGATCCCCCTGGCTGAGGATGCCAAGGAAAAAAACGCTTCTCTATACCTGACAGCCTCTTCCAATATACCGTCCTCTCTTTCGGGCTCCATAGGGTTCCTGCAACTTTCCAACGATCGATGGATAGATTACTTCAACCCCATGCCAAGTATGCTGCCGCCTATTTAGTTGATGTGGTAATCCATAGCCCTGACTGGGATACGCACCTGGGGAAAGTGGAAGTGGTACTAGATGCTCTTAGGCTGGCCTCACCGCTACCTCATCCAAATGTGCAACAGGGTTAGCCAAGGCCAGATACCTCGGGTATGTAGTCAGAAGGGGCCTGGTGAAGCCCCAGTGGAACAAAGTGGAGGCAATACAGGAATGGCCCCACCCGACCCACAAGAAGCAAGTCAGAGCGTTCTTAGGGATGGTGGGGTACTATCGCCAGTTCATCTCTCACTTCGCCATGAGGGCAGTGCCTCTGATGGACCTGATAAGAGCTTGTGGCCTGGAGATAGTTAAGTGGATCAAGGCGGCAAAAGAAGCTTTCACAGACCTAAGAACGATCCTTTGCAGTCATCCAGTGCTCGCAGCCCCAGATTTCAAAAAGGAATTCATCCTACAACAAATGCCTTGGAGGTAGGACTTGGGCCATCCTTTCACAGATGGTGGGGGATGAGGAGCACCCGATCCTATACCTCAGCCAAAAGCTCCTGCCCAGGGAGCAACGGTACGCCATAGTAGAAAAGGAATGCCTAGCAGTTAAATGGGCCATGGAGATTCTATGGTAATATCTACTTGGACGGCGGTTCACCCTTGTGACGGACCACGCCCCACTCCAATGGATGCACACAAACAAAGAGAGGAATGCACGAGTGACTAGATGGTTCCTATCCCTACAACCTTTCCACTTCTGGATACAGCATAGAGCCAGAAGACAACACGGCAACGCGGACGGACTGTCACGACAACACTGTCTCTTGTCCCAAGTAGCCCAACCCTGTGGTATTGAGTGGGGGCGTGGGGGGATATGTAATACAGGAGGGCCAGGGAGCAGTGGGAGAGTGGTAGAGGGGAAATATTGAATAGTAGTGGACCCAGGACAGACCCATGGGGGACATCACTATTTACCTCTCTGCATTCTGAAAACTGACCAATTATCCCTACTCTTTGTTTTCTTTTAATCAGTTACAGATCTGTAAGAGAACCTTCCCTCTTATCTCATGACTGCTTACTTGTTTAAGAGCCTTTAGTGAGGGACCTAGTCAAAAAGGCTTTCTGAAAGTCTAAGTACACTATATCCCCTGGGTCACCCTTGTCCAGATATTTGTTGACCCCCTCAGAGACTCCTAACAGATTGTTGAGGCATGATTCCCCTTTACAAAAGCTGTGTTGACTCCTCCCCAACAAATTGTGTTTGTCTATGTGTCTGATAATGCTATTCTTTACTATAGTTTCAGCCAGTTTGGCTGGTATTGACGTTAGGTGTACAGGCCTGTAATTGCCAGGATCATTTCTGGAGCCTTTTTTAACAATTGGTGTTACATTAGCTATCCTCCAGTTATCGGGTACAGAAGCTGATTTAAATGATAGGTTACATACCACAGTTAGTAGTTCTACCATTTCATATTTGAGTTCCTTCAGAACTCTTGGGTGACCACCATCTGGTCCTGGTGATTTATTGTTTAATTTATTGTGAATTGTGAACAGTGGCATTTTCAACAGCCCCTGTGTGTGTTCTGCACTGTGGATAGTGGTGCTGTCACTACTAGAGGAGAGTCCTGACCCAGGAATAGTGGCATTCTTGACATACCTTGGGAGGCAGGGGAGGAGGGATTCTGCAACCTGAATAGTGGCACTGTTGCCACCCCGTCCCCTCAGTGGGGCATCCTAAGCCATGAACAGTGGTGCTCTCAACATCTCCAGGTTCTAGGAATGGGTCACTCTGGGTGCCAACTTCAAGGTGGCACTGTACTGCTCACATTTTTTTGTTTCTATTAATTAGCTTGCCTTCCCCCCGTCCTCTGCTGATTGGTTGGTGGTGAGTTATTTCTTTTGTGACTTAGCCACTACCATTTTCCACCCTGGCTGGCAAAAAAGCTAGGGCCACTCCTGGTCCTGCACTCTGAACAGTGGTGCTCTTGACACCTTCCAGAGTGCCACTGTGTGTCACTGACTGCCCGTCTTGACACCCGCCGGAGGAGTGTGAATAGCGGCACACTGTGAATAGTGGCATAATGGGACTAGTGTGGCACCAGGGATGTGCCCCTGGGACGGGGCGTCCTGCACGGTGAATAATGGTGCAATAGACGTGCCCCGGGATGGCATGTCCTGCACGGTGAATGGTGGCGTCTTGTGCACCGTTCAATGCACCTAGCTCTTGGCTGGGGTGTGGGGGGGGTCATCCCTGCTGCCCCTCCCCCAAGTACTCCCCAGGCTGGTAGTCGGCAAGGAGGTGCTGAAATACCTGGCCATGGACTTGGCTCTGCCTCTTCATATAGACATGCGGCTGCTCTGCGGCCAGCGAGTAGATGTTGCCGATGAGGGGCAGCCTCCGGGGCCCCGGCGGGAAACCAGGCGGCCGCCTCTGCTTGAGCAGCTGCCTCACCAGCAGCGAGAGGAGGAGGAGCAGGAGCGCGCCAGTGCCCACCGCCGTGAGCACCTGACCCTGGGACCACATTCCCCCGCTCCGCCGCTGCCCTCTGCCAGCGCCCGACTCCCCTTTCCCCCGCCCCTTCACACAGCCACGTGGGCGCTGCCGTCCCTCGACCGCCCTGATTGGCCGGCGGCCGTGCTAGTCAAGAGACTCCAAATATGATTGGCGGAGTCAGTCCGGCGGCCGGCTCTTCCTCCCCCCTCTCAAGTTCTCAAAAGAGGCCGTTGGGATTTCGGCCGTTACTCCCCCCCAAGTGCTCACTCCGCGTGTAACCCAGTTCTGCGCTGTTTCACTCAGCCAGCGGCGAGCCGAGGCGGGCTGGTTACATAACTGACCCTCGTGTAGCTGGCAGCAAAAATATTTGTTCGGGGAGTTGCTCCCCCCCCCGGCCAGCCGTGAACAGTCCAGGTCCCCTACTTCACCCTAGCGCCCCAACCACCAGTCTCGCAGTAGCGTAACTGGGGAGAGTAGTGGACAAGGCCCTTATGGGTTGTTTCAAGGAGGGGCTCTTACCTGCGCTTGCAATAAAGGTCGCTGCCGGTTACAAACAGCCCTGTGGTGCAGACCATGCAGCTTCCTCAGAGAAAGCTCCAGTCGAGCGAATTAGTGATCAGCCACCCTGTGCCTTGCAAACAGTAGTGAGGAGCAGACAGAAATAAAGCACATCACTAGGAAGAGAGGGTGGGTGGGAGGGAGGCAGCTTGAAAGCTGCAGGCGAGCTGTTGGGGTTTGGCTCGTAACTGCTTGGGGGGCTTTTTGCACCATCTGTGCCTTACAAAGTTGTTTGAGCAGGCTAAGATGCAATGCTTTAGGAATATGCTTCCCCTAGACTGAAAGAATCTTCTGCTGAGGTCAAATGGCATGCCAGCCTTCAGCACCAGACAGTAACTCCATAAATGGGGCCCTGGAAAGACCTTCTGAGAAGAAGTTTTCAAACCAGGCTATGGGGAAACATTTCAGCAGTAATTAAGTGATTTAAGAGCTTAAATCCCAGGCTCCTAAATCACATAGGAGCTTTAGAATAGTCTACCATATGTGATTGTTTTATTGGTTTGGAGGGATGTGTATGCAAAGTGATTGACTTTTCCATCTAAAAATCAAAAAGATTACTATTCTGAGTAAAATGTTATGAACATGTTTGAGGCAGGAAGCCATTTATTATTTAAGTCATTAATTAACTAAGGGGTTTTTAACTTTGGAAAGTTTTTCAATTTTATTTTGCTACAGTCCAAGTGTGCTCCTGTGAGAGACAAAATGCAAACTGGATGTTTGAATTCCTGTCCTGTGGCATCAAATTATACTATACCTGCCCATGATTGAGGGGTTTAAATATATTTCCAGTGAAAGGTGATTAAATTGGGAGGGGGAAGTGAAAGAAAAGGAGGAAAAAAACAAGTCTATTCCAAGGAGGAGGTTGACTGATAATAAACTCAAGATTTTAGTTTTTTACACTATCTTTTTATTTTATTTAGGGATGGGAGGTTATAAAAAAATCATACATGGACAGGCCAAAGCACTGTAGTATTCCTGTTCTACTTTCCCCTCCATACCTATCCTCTCTCTCTTCTAGGGTGACCAGACAGCAAATGTGAAAAATCGGGACAGGGGTGGGGGGTAATAGGAACCTATATAAGGAAAAGACCTCAAAATTGGGACTGTCCCTATAAAATCGGGACATCTGGTCACCCTACTGTCTTCTGGCTGTAGGGTGACCAGACAGCAAATGTGAAAAATCGGGACAGGGAGTGGGGGATAATAGGAGCCTATATAAGAAAAAGACCCAAAAATCAGGACTGTCCCTATAAAATCAGGACATCTGGTCACCCAATCTGACCGCTCCACTATTGTATCTTTGAAGTGTGAATTGCAAATCAAAATTTAAGAAAAGCACTGTTGCACTCCATTTTACATTCTTTAGCAAGACATTACAGTGACTGAAGTGTTTGGGAGAAACTGGGAGTGTCCCAAATACTGGGTGACTGTATTCAGCAGCACTTTCTTTGAGAGAGCTAAGCAGATTGTTGCTTAGGGTTGTGCCATCTACTCCCAACATTGCACGATAATCTCAGTTTGTCAACTTTGATCCTCTGTGCTGATGATAGCTTTTGCAGGATACAAAAAGTGAGAAAGGTATTAAAAAGATGTATTCATACAGTGATATGATATGGTCATATGATCATCTCGGAAATTTATAATCAGTAGAGCATATGCAGGGCCGGCTCTACGTTTTTTGCCGCCCCAAGCAAAAAATTTGCCGCCCCAATCTCCGAGAACACAACTAGCCAAGCAAAAAAAAAAAAAAATGGCCAGAATGCCGCCCCTGGAATTGTGCCACCACAAGCACGTGCTTGCTTTGCTGGTGCCTAAAGCCAGTCCTGAGCATATGTACAAATGTGAAGAGCATTACCAGTAAGCTGCTGTAAGGCCTAGGGATGTTTGTAACTCTAGGTAGCTGATTTGAGTTAACTAACATGAGCAAAAATCCTGGTGAAAACAAGTCAGTTTGTAGTTTTCATATGAGTTAGCAGGAGAAGGTAAATCCTAGGATCTCCCATAATCTTTACTTCGTCTTACTAACTCATGTGAAAACTACAAACTGCTTTGTCTTTCATTGCTTAAGTATCTTCTGCAGCTATCCCAAAATTGAATTCAGACCATTTCCCTACATGGAAATTCCATGCACAGAGATGGAATTTCTTTTATTAACTTGAATCTTTGGGTGGAACAAAAATAAACATAAAGTACATAGTGCCAATGCTCACAAGTACTTTCCTGAATTTTCTTTACAATATTTGGTGATTCTTATTGACAGATTGCTAGCTATGGACTTATAACTTGCTCCGATTTTGAGGTCTTAAATGAGTTGCCAATTTCTCTCTCTCCCCTCATATCAATACATCACTACTTCTACTGTAATCCGTACTCCATTACTAAGGAATCCACACATTTCTTCCTGTCCATAAGAAATTGTCTTAATCCCATCTTGAGCTTTCCAACACATCAACTAAATTTCTTCTTTAAACTGTCAAGTTGCAGATTATGTTCTCCCCTCAGCCAGACAAGCTGTCAGAGTTCCAGCATATTTTCTACTTTTTACTGTAGATTTGTCTTTCATTCAGAGACTCATGAAGGATTTTTTTTTCACACACTATTGTAGAATTAACTAGGTGCATTGTTACTTTATAATCATTGTGAAGCATTAGGTTTTGGCCACTATAGTAGTCAAGATACCAGGATGCCAGACTTGAAGGACCAATGATTCTTATGATGGTTCCTGTGACTCAGTCACCTCCACACAATTATTTCCCCACCACCACCCTTCTCCTTGATCATTTCAGAACTGACCCATTTCCTCTCCCCATCTGTATTAGTCCAATACTGAGGTAATTTAATGTAGCCATCACACATCCATCCTTAGATTTCACAAAGATTAAATCTAATATGGATTCTTCTTCCCAAACTACAATCCAGATCACTCTTCTCAATGACAATCACTTTCATGGCCTTCACTGGCCATATTAGCCACCCAGAGATCTCAGCTAGTGCCCCAGTCTCACTCTCATCTTTGCCAACTGTTTCCAGGGTTCTTCTATTATTTAAATATATCTGGATGGGCACCATTTGTATTGAGCTTGTATAGGATAAGAAAGAAAAGGAAAGATAATAGATCACTTTGGCAGCATTATTTTGAATGGGATGGATGAGAATGAATCTAGTATAAAAAATACTCAAGAGGAGGAGATTAGGGCATGGAAGAGCAATTTGGCCATTTGGATAGAAAGAAAGGAGTAAGTTTTATATAGTGTAGAAGAAAAAGTAACCGGATTAGGCCTGATTTGGATGAAGAAGAGAAATAAAGAGAGGAATTGAACTTAACCATCGCCCAGCTAATGTGCTTGGGTGGCAGGGAAAACTGTAGTGTTATCATTTGTGATAGAGAATGGATGTATTGAAGAACATTCAGGAGGAACAATGAGCTCAGTTTTGGCCATTTTGATCTTAAGCAGATGCGGAGCCATCCAAGATTAAATATCTAAAAGTTACTGAGAAATCCATGATTGAATACAGAAGAAAGGTTCAGAGGGGATAAGTATATTTGAAAGTTGCCAACACAGAAATGATAATTAAACCCATATGAGATGATCAGGTTACTCCAGGATAAGATGTCGAGGGAGCATACAAAGGGGCCAAGAGCTGAACCATGAGAAATTATATCAGAAGAGTTAAGCTCCCACTCTATCTAGTCACTGTTCTTTTTATATCTTTTGGGGGATCTTATGATATCTCTGTTATACTCTTAAGAGAATAGGAACAATTTCTAATTTCCCTCTGTATCTCACAAGCTTGCATTCACCCATGTTACTTATTCTCTTAACTCAATAACCCCCTATTTATAGAACACTAGCTACTGCTTTCACACTTCTCACAACACAAATAAGTTGGAAAAGTTATAACGAGGTTAGAGTTTTCTCCCTGAAACTTCAAGATTGTTTCCCACATGATATATACTAGTACTCTTGTCTCTGTAATTTATAAATAGCATACTCTACTAGAAAACATTTTTATATCCTAGACAAATAATGCTAGAAAAACTTTTCCTCTTTCCTTTTACTCACATGCTAATTACTCAACACAATGAAATATGAGAAACTCATTTAATAAATCTGCTGTCAAACACAAGATTTTATCTATGGGAGTTAAATAACACTTTCGTAACACACCCATAAAAACACAACTATTACCAGTTTCTAAATTACAGTCTCTGGCTAGCTAAACCTGCAAGAGCTATGGTACTTTGTAGATATGTCAAACAGGAAAAAGTGGTATCTCATACTTTCTCTTGCCAGCTTGTTATTCAGAAGCTGACAATTTGCACTTTCTCAGCCACAGTATTGCCAACCCTAAATGTTAAAAAATCATGAGTCAGGCCCCCAAAATTATGAGATTGGCTTAAAAATTAATTGAGATTTTTTTTAAATAGTCAATTTTGGGATATTTTTGTTTGCTTTTGAGCCTTCAGGTAC